AAGAAAGAAATATTCAGCAAGAACAGAATGAAGAAACAAGAATTCAAAAACATGAGGAGAAGCTTAGGAACCTCCAGGACATCTTTAAAAGTTCCAACATTCAAATTATAGCGGTGCCAGAAGGAGAAGAGGAAGAGCAACAAATTGAAAGTTATTTGAACAAATAATAAAGGAGAACTTCCCCAATCTGAAAAAGGAAACAGACTTCTAGGAAGTCCAGGAAGCCCAGAGGAACACACCAAGGTACATCATAATTATACTAGCTAAAATTAAAAATAAGGACAGAATCCTGAAAGCAGCAAGAGAAAAGGAGACAGTTACCTACAAAGGACTTCCCATCAGACTGTCAGCTGATTTCTCAAAAGGGACCTTGCAGGCAAGAAGGGGCTGGAAAGAAGTATTCCAAGTCCTGAAAGGCAGAGACCTACATCCAAGATTATTCTATCCAGCAAAATTTTCATTTAGAATGGAAGGGCAGATAAAGTGCTTCTCAGATAAGGTCAAGTTAAAGGAGTTCATCATCACCAAGCCCTTATTGTATGAAATGTTAAGGGATTTATCTAATGAAAAGAAGATAAAAAACATGAACATTAAAATGGCACAAAACTCACAGTTATTAACAACCACACCTAAAACAAAAACAAAAATGAACAAAGAAAACAACTAGAACAGGAAGAGTACCACAGAAATGGAGATCACATGGAGGGTTATGAGCAGGGGAGTGGGAGGAGGAGAGAGGGGGAAAAGGTACACAGAATAAGTAGCATAAATGGTAGGTAGAAAATAGACAGGGGGAGGTTAAGAATAGTATAGGAAATGTAGAAGCCAAAGAACTTACATGTATGACCCATGGGCATGAACTAAAGGGGAGAATGCGGGTGGGAGGGTGTGTGCAGCGCAGAGGGAAATCAAAGGGGGGAAATGGGACAACTGTAATAGCATAATCAATAAAATATATTTTTAAAAAATAAGTATTTGAAAGTCAAAGTAAAGTGCTTACATTTTATGATATACATTTAGAAGAATAGGGGAAATAATTATAATTGTGTATGTATTTCATATTTTACCAAATAAGCAAAATATCTCTTATTTTACTCTATCTCAATATCTAACCTGATAGCTAAATCTCTAGAACAATTATTTTGTTCTCCTCCACCACTCTTTGTTCCTTAAAGAAAAAGAATCACTCCCCATATTTATACACATACAGGAAAAAAATAGAAAAATTTCAGGTAATTACATCCAAACTATATCATCCTTAAATTCCCCAAATAACTGATGTAAAACTGTTTTTCCTAAAATACCTAGATAATTGCCACTTTCTGTATTTCATTGGCTGTGATATGAATGTGTAAAGATATACTTACTCAAATAACAAGAATATATATACTCAGAGGTCCTGTTTGGAAACTCTTTCTGAGTTTTCTAACCACTCAGATGAAGTAGAATCCACAAGTTCAAAAACAGTTTCTTTCTTTCTATAAACCTTTATACTTATAGTCATGTAGTCAATAACTCGCCTGTGCAAATTAAACAACAAACACCAAAGAAAAATGGGAAGAGAAAAATGTCATGGGCTCTGTATTTTAAAACTCAGTAATCCTAATATACTAATAAATAAAAAGTAATCTTATTATTTTCTTGTTAGAAACAATATAGAGACAGTGAAGGTCTGTGTAACAAATCTGAGCAAATTATTGGATAAAGTGAATAGTTATGTTCAAACTAAACTCGCACATTGGGCAGGTTCACTTCTGAGTATTTCATCTGTAAATCTGGACTAACTATATTACCTCTATCAAAGCATTACTGAGGTGACTATATGAAAATATGCATGTAAACAGCTTAGCACCATGCCTGCTACATTGTGTGTGCTCAATCAATAGCTGATACCATTATTCAGAGTTCATTATAGCAATTCGGAAGAGTGGAAGAACTATGATTGTTCATACATCTTTAGGTTGACTGGATTTGCTACACAATCATTATGCATCTTGTGGGCTTAATTTTAAGTAAATTCACTGGAGAAATACTCTTACTTGAAAATGTTAATAGTTAATAGAAAATGAAACCAACTATGAAAAACATTATTTGGAATTACCTACCACCTCCTACATCCTTGCAACATGTATACAACTCTGCTTGGTATTGGGATGTTGTGAAAAGATTAACATATGCTGATTTTCAAAAACCAATAAAAATTATTATCATTTCAAAGTATGAAATATCAAAATAATAGTGACATTATCAGCATGTTTCTAATAGTCTTTGAATTTGCTTGGGATTTTTTTATTGCTAGTACAAAGGTTTATCCAGATCATATATATTTCAGCATCTCGACTTATGCCCTATTTTCTATGAGGACAACTCCCCTACTGGACTCAGTTTTAGTGATACTTTCTCTGGAAAGCTTCCCTTGACCACCATCCACACAGATTTCTCCCCTCTCTCTGCTCTGAGCCCCACAGTCAGATATTATTTCCTAACAGTGCTTCTTTCATACAGTCTCTTGCATTTCCCTTTGCACTACCATCTTCCAAAGTCATACCACATTATCCACTAAAGTTTATTCAGTTGATTCTTAAGTGTGTCTTCTAGTGACAAATCTTTCCTATATAAAATGGTCAAATAAATGTAAGAAGAGGCTTTTGTCAGGTAACCCCTACTTTGGAAATGTTCAATGGCTCCTTATTTCTAAGATGAATATAATGGCCAAACCTTGACAGCAAAACAGGGCATTAATGATGGGCTTAAACCAGAACTGTGCCAGCAAACCAGGTCTTACAGCTACCCAGCCAGACATTGGGCTTCTCAAACATTCTCACAAAAATATTGCTAATGGTTGACTCAAAACTAAACTCCCAAGCTTAAATTTATTTACTTAAAATTCCTGATATTCTAACATTCTTAGATAAAATATATTCATGCTTGTTTTCATGTAAATATAATGTTTTAAGTCACAATTCTTTTACATGAGTAACATTTCCAAACATCTTACCCAAAATCTTGGAGCAGAATTGATTCCCAGGAGGACTTACTATCCTTGTTGTGTGGTCTATGACAACTCTATCATAGACAGTCTATGACAGTGCTGTCACCTAGAGCACAGTGGATGCCATTCCCCAAGATTGAAAGGTGAATGGTACTTTCTGGAGTTATCAATCCTTCTGTGAACTCAGAGTCCACAAGAGTGTTCCATACAGGCTCTTTAGAACCCCAATTCAATGTCAACAATAAGTATGCCTCCTCCTCTGATTTCCTCAATGCTACTCTGATCCAGTTCCATTTGTTCTGGTTGCCATGTGACATACAAGACATCCAGTTAAATTTGAATTTCAGAAAAGCAAAGAATGACTTTTAGTATGTCCCATTCAATATTTGGATTAAACTTGACTAGGTGTCTTATACACTTATTTTCTAAATCTAGCAACTCTGACTCTAAAGCCATTCCTGACCACCTGTTGGCAACTTTGAGATTAATTTACTGCATTTTATTCAGAGGCCCAGCTTTGTCATTGGCCACATATGAATTTGCCCTCTGTGGGCCTGTTTCATTTGCAAAACTGGTGGTGAGGTGAGTGGACAGTTGACTAAGTGCTCTCTCAGGACCTTCCCAATCTAACATTCCATAGATCTAGAGCATCTGCATGTTAAATCTGTTTCTTGTTGGCCAACAAGTGATGTGCCTGTCTGTAGCACCCAAACTAATCTTCTGAGAGTTTCCATCTTCCCAAAGTATTCACTCTCCCTTGGGTTGCAGCAATGATAAGAAGACTCTGCCAAAAGGCAAAAGTTACCTATAAGGTTCAATATGTTATATTATCACCATCTGTTTATAATTGCTCACAAATGAGAGCACAATATACCTATGATTTTTTCCCCATTTTTATTAATTTATTAATTTATTAATATCTTTAATTAAAGAATCACAAAGATGAGAGAATCACCTGCTCATCACTTGTCCTGGTGGCAATCAACAGTGCTACAATGCCTTCCAAGGTCACCTGAGAAGGATACCCTTGAAGAAGAAAGGGGAAAATGAAATGGGGAGGTGGAGATAAGGAGGAAAGAGGTGCTCATCTGAGCTCCTGCAGCTGCTAGGCCAGGTGAACACCCAAACTGGGTTTTTCAAAGAGCAAAAGATATCCTTATCAGGTTTTAGACCAAGTTTTCAGTGCGTGTTGAAAAATGGAAACATAAGAAAATGAAGTTGGGGATGAAGAGAAAGCAGCAGCATAGGATCCTAGAGTATGTATCCACTTACTAATCATCCTAATGAGTTCTCTGCCTATCTCCAAATGAAAATGTAACCATTCAGACTGAACCAGCAAAGAACACCTCCTGAATCTCACTTATATAAAACAGACATTCACATAAACTAGAATGGATCTCTCTACTAATTTTCTGTTTCTGCTTCCTCCAGTTATTTCCTGTCTCTCCCTCCTGTCCTGCTGGATCTCAATCCCTTCCACCTTCCTTATTCTAATTCCCTGCCTCCTACTTCTTACCTAATCTGCTACAAGAAGTGATTTATGTTTTCTGTAATGAGGAGTATGCACTTTGGAGTTCAGTTTTAATTTTTCATCCATTTATATTTTGTGAAAGAGAGCAAAGTGGGGTCACTGGCCATACACATTCTGGAGAAGGCTATTACTATTCAAATTAAATGACACATTAAGAGGACATAGAAAATGAAAGTTTTTTTCTTATTGTTGTTCAAGTACAGTTGTCTCTATTTTCACCCCACCATGTCCCCCACCCCACCCATCCCCACCTCCCACCCTCAAACCTACCCCTTTGGCTTTGTCCATGTGTCCTCTATACATGTTCCTTGACAGCCCTTCCCCTATTTCCCCCCATTATCCCTTTCCCCACTCTCTCTCATATGATCTCACCTGCAAGTTGAACCTAATGAACAAAACAAACGAGCAAGCAAAATGTAACCAGTGACACTGAAATAAAGAAAATGAAAGATTCTAATTGTAAGTCCTTTGTTTCAGCCTACAAGGAAAAAATGAAGGAGCTGTCCATGCTCTCACTGATTTGCTCCTGCTTTTACCCAGAACCTCGAAACATCAATATCTACACCTATGATGGTGAGTTTGACAATGGAAATGCCCCTGGCAGCTAGATCATTTGGAAAAGCTTAGATGAATTCATTTCTCTCTCACAACTCCTGATAAAATTAAATTGGTATTTGGTGGTTTTTGCTATTGACTTGCTGTGTGTAGCTATTAGGCCTTACTGATTGCCTATTGTTCAAAACAGTTTAAGTTTGGTGCTAATAACAACACATTAACATCTCTTAAAAACATGGCTTAGCCCCGGCTGGCTTAGCTCAGTGCATTGAGCACAGGCTGCGAACCAAAGTGTCGCAGGTTCGATTCCCATTCAGGGTACATGCCTGGGTTGCAGGCCATGACCCCCAGCAACCGCACATTGATGTTTCTCTCTCTCTCTCTCTTTCTCCCTCCCTTCCCTCTCTAAAAATAAATAAATAAAATCTTAAAAAAAAAAACATGGCTTAATTGTAATTGCAGTCATGTCTAGCATATCAATATCTACAAAATGTCCAAGGCTTTTCTTTGCAAATAATATAATGTGCTAAGTTCTAATTATAGCAGATCATAATTTTCAAGAAAAATGTTCATACTTAGAAAACTCGGGAGAGAAAAATCAACTGCCATCCCAGTTTTTGCTTTAGTATAATCTTTATAAAGTTCCCATATTTGGTGTATGCATATCAACAACCTAATAAGTTCCAATTATAAAACTGATTTATGACTGAGGCCCCAGATAAAGAGGATTTAAAAAGAAACACTCCAGAATTGTCTGGCTATACACTGTTTGCAGTATAATCCATTCAGACTGATTTATCCTGATTCATTCTGCTCCCTCCTGGCTCTGCCGCTAGCCACATGACCTCTGGTAAGCCACATAGGATCTCTGAGCCTTATTTAAGTGTAATGCCGTCCTCTCAGGGGTGATGTGGCTAAGTAATGCAAGTCAAACACTTAGCACCGACCTTGGCCCCTTGTAAGTACCAAAAATGGTAACTATTATTATCAACAATACCATCCTCACTTAATTCCGTCAATATAATCAAAATGTTTGATACAGTTTCACATGTAGTAGATGTAGCTGAAGTATATTTTGCTGGCTGTTTGGCTCACAATTATTTTTCTTTTCCACATGGGTAAAGAAATGCAGTTCAGGTGACAGGATCTGTGGCCATTAACCCCCTGTGCCTTTAAAGCCTATTCTGGGACTCAATGGCATTTTTCTTGCCAAAATGATTCTATCATCACACAAACATCATAAATGTTAGTCCACTGTTTCCTAAGGAAATATCCTTTGTCTGACAAATTCTCATTAGAATGTAGACCCAATGCCAACTTTGTACAAGTTCATTCAGTCAACAAATAAATGAGATGGATCCTTAATCTGCTGGGTGCAGCTATGACTAGTATTCTAGCTGTTTCTTCTGTGATTCCAGTATCTCACTGTGTGCTGTCACTGAGGCTCCAAGGTAGACACAGCACAGGCAGCTCCTTCCAGGAACTCAGGACCTAGAAAAGCACTACACTATAAAAGTCAATAAGGAGATGGAGTGTGGTCACATGCTGAGAAAGAGGATGTACAAGGTGTACTGGTTGGACAGAAAGGACAATGACAGTTTCTGCTGGCTTAGGGATTGACAGGGAAAAGAAGTCAGACGTTATATATAAGCTCAGTCTTAGATGTTGAACAGACAATTCAGCATTACTCATGCTCTGCTTCCTAAAAGAATTGGTAGAGAATTTTAAATTTCTAAAGCCTTTAACCTTGCCTTGTATTTCTATTTAGATAATAACTTGAAGGGTTTATTGCAGACAAATATTATCTAATAATAATAATAATTATATAACAATAATTATGATAACAAAGATGTAACATAATATTATTATCATCATTATTTACATTAACATGCACTTAGTGTAAATGGCCTGAGCTTTACATTTAGTATAGTTTTTTTTAGAACATCTTGGTAATTTAATTTTTTAAAACAGCTTTATTGAGCAATAATTGACACACTACGTACTTTACAAAACACTGCATACTTTAATGGATATAATTTGATGAATTTGGACAAGTATCTTTTACCTTTTAATTATCACAACAATCTTATAAGAAATGTACTCTTTTTCTGCATCTTTTAGATGAGGCAGTAAAAGCTTAAAGAAGTTAACTAACTTCCTGTGTCACACAGCTAGTGAGGGGTGCTTACTATTTGGTTGCAAATACAGGCAGTTCCGATTCCTGGATGTCTAACCTAAGCCTAGAATCCCATCACCTTATCAAACAAGACATTTTTATTTGCCTTCACATCCTTTATTTATCTTCACATCCTTTTTCATAAGGTCCTATAATTTTTATTGAATTTTATTAAAGATATAACTATAAACTTGGACACCTTCAAGAAAATTAAAAACATTTTTACATTTGTGAAAACCACCCACATCACATCTAATACACATATTGAACTGGTTTTTTCAGCCTTGTCTGTTGGCCTTTGAGGATCTAAGGTCACTTCCTGTGCATCTGGGTTTCATTTGACTATAATTTCAAAGTGCACTAACCAAACAAAAGAACTTTAATGAAAGCATAGAATTTGCATCAGGAGAAGCAATATTTCTACTGCACTCTCTCTAGTCAGAACTTACCTAGACACCTAGCCAGTTTGGTTGCCACAGCTCTAAAGGGACATTAATAATTAGAGAACACTTTAGGATTAAGGAGCAGTGCAAGGGTAAAGATCTAGAAATGGTCATTCTGGGGCACTGAGGATGTTTTAACCTGCAGGGGTAGAACTTGGAGTGGAAAATGATAGCAATTTTTGAATACCTGTAAGATGCAGAGACAGAGCAGAAAATGTGCTAGCGTTCAGAGAGCAGAACAAGCCTGGACCAGGGGGCAGTCCAGGACCCCAAATATGCTACACTCATCTAAAAATGAGAGCTGTCCAATGAGCTTCTAAGAAATCATTATCTTTTCCTAAGTTTAAGTTGTGTAATCATAAATGCCATAACAGATGTTAGCTATCACTCTATTTTATATTACAAATTATATTACTTTATATTATAAATCATATTATACAGCATTAAAACTGGAGGGTCTGCCATTCTGCTTATCTTTTGCACCTAAGCTGCCAGTGAAAAACATGGCTAACCATTCTTCAGTTGCTAAATGCACACAGTGTGTGACTTAGCTAAGCAGATGTCACCTTTTCCTCCTCCAACACAGTAACCCTTTCCAGGCTCCTGTCTGGAGACATCCTGAAGGAAGTTGTTCTAAGAAGCAACAAAGTAGAAACAACGATATTACAGTGGGATCTTGTTTTATTGTCCCTGCTAGACTCTAAGCACCTTGAAGACAGGGACTCCATCACAGTGTCTTTCTCAGAGTGGACACTACACAAGCCCAATGACAACTCTGTTCAACAAATGCACCGAAGGGTACACAGGGAACAGGCAAGGTGCTTTGCACAGGAGCAATGCCGGGGCCCAGCGTTTCCATCCCCTCAGGGAGCTACATTCATTCTAACAGCTCCTGCAATTTCCAACCACAGGATTATATATAGGAACTGGAGAACTTTGTTATTTCCATCATCAGTTAGTCTGAAAATGCCTCCAGCCATAGTAACTTATACACACACAAACACCTATATCTGTGCTACTTGCTTTTCATGTGAAGCTCATATTTAATCAAAGGAAAATAAAGTTTAGATTAAAATCAATTCAGGCTATATTTTCCTAAGTATCCCTGCCATTACTCAACTCCCTATGGACATTGTTGAATTCCCCATCGCTGTAAATATTTATTTTGTTAAAATATATCTATAATTATACTGAAGAAAGAGGTCTTATATCTTCAAAACAAGGTAGAGCAAATGATCCTATGCTGCATTTTATTCCTATTTGACAGGGTAGCAATGTTATTTTCAATTGCTAGAATTCAAATTATTAAACTAAGATGATGCATCATGCTCTGTATGCTTAACATTCTCAAATATTTATTTCTCAGACATGGAAGTGAAGCAAATCAACAAACGTGCCTCTGGCCAAGCTTTTGAGCTGATCTTAAAGCCACCATCTCCCATCTCAGAAGCCCCACGAACTTTAGCTTCTCCAAAGAAGAAAGACCTGTCCCTGGAGGAGATCCAGAAAAAACTAGAGGCCGCTGAGGAAAGAAGAAAGGTAATTTTCCATAATTTCTTTAAATTTATTTTTAATTGTAGTTGACATAGGTTATAATAGCTTCAGGTGTATAACATAGTGAGTAGAGATTTATGTACCCAGTCTCTCTCACACACATGCACAACACACACCCATACACCAAGCAGAAGTTCCAGAAGACAATGACTCTTGAATATGTGTACGTCTTCAGTAGACCTAGAGTCAGCCTACTTCAAGCAAAGACTACTGCTTTTAGACTTGCCAAGCCAGAGGTCTCAGACACTGAAAGAACTTTAATACCCTGGTACCCCTCCTCCATTTGGATCCCTTATTATAAAAGTGGCTTTCCCTCATGATAAACACCAGGAGGTTGCTCTGTCCTCCTCAAGGCTTGGCTACTTGCCCTTGAAGTTGCTCCTCCCAAGATGAGGACCCTCTTTGGGATCTATGACTATCTTCCTCTACTCACTTCTAAGCCTTGGTGGCATTTTTTCTCTTTTTCCCATTGGTCCCTATTTGTATTAGAGATCTTTTCTTTTAACAAATTTCAATTTTCCACAATCAGATGACAAAGAAAAGTCAAGGGTGTTAAAAATGGAAGGCACTCAGAAATCCCAAGGACTTTAAACACAGTGATAGAAATTATGTCTGAATATATTGTTACCAACTATGTGATTATGGGAGTCCATCCCATCAAAATACCTTTATTCAACCCAAATGGAATTATTTTAGGTAATTCACCTAATACCTTTAGGTAATAAGCTAATTAATTTAGGTTATTCAGTTACAGCCCATCAAGACTTTGCTGCTGACAGATATAAATAATGAGCTGTAATGGGAGAGAGCACACACACTCAAGGCCAAGTTCTCACCCAAGTGCTGGTATGTTAGAGGTCACCGGCATAGGATTCATATATGCAGATGCCGTGACTTGATTAGAATACAAACTCAGTGACTGAGCTAAAATGGAAACTTAGAGATGAAAATTCAACATCGTTATGGTTCTAGGTTACGTATTTAATTTGAAAGAAACTATTAAAGGAAAAACAAGAACAATGCAAAGGTGATCAAATTAACTGGGAGTTTTCATAAAACTCCCTGAGTTAACTACTTATGATCCTGGTAATATTCCTGTCCCTGAGCAACAACTTACCCACAATTATACCTTTATATAACTGAGTTGAACTAGAAATTGACCACATGGCTAAAAGACATCTCCCTTTTTTATCGTCTCTGAGAATTAGTGTTCACCTCCATGAGACCATATTATTTCATGAGGTCAGCTTGAAGCTCATGTTTTGAAATCAATGTTTCCAAACTGCAACTGACTCACATGGGTGAAATGATATGAACAATTTGTCGTCCACCCATCCATCCTTCCATCCATCCATTTATTTATTCAACAGACATTTATTTAGCAAGAGGCAGAAGAGCTAAGCTAACCATACATCCCAGTTGGCTCAGGACAACTCCAGCTGACTCCTGCTATTTTGATATCATTATTATTATTTCAATCCCATCAGTGTCCCAGTTTGGACAGTAAATTATATGGACATTCCAAGCCAAACACAGTGTTTAAGAGTGTTTTTAAAGCATAGTGGTTAAGTGTACATGGCTAAGAGAATGCCTGTGATTCAAAGTTTGGCACCACCATTTAACAGCTGTATGACTTTAAGCCAGTCACTAAACTCTATATCCTATTTTACCTACCTGTAAAATGAGACAAATAATTGGATCTATAGCACAGAGGTATTGTGATAATTAAAAGAGTAACTATAAGAGTTACTTATAGTAGTCATAAGACATATAACAAGCACTGTGAACACACTGTTAGCTATTGTTGGGTACAAATCCATCCAGTTCCTGACCTCACAGATATGATGGTCTAGCAAATTCACAATTTTATAAAAGAAGCTTCCCATTAACACAGATACTGGAATGCTAACATACAATGTATTTCTAAACATTTTTAAATATTAAGAATATTATTTTTCAAATTCTTTATACAAAGAAAGAAAAGTTAATAGGTAACAAATATTATTAAGTGGCTTGAAAAAATAACATTATGAAAAAAATTATGAAAAGTTAAGGATTTAAATGACACTGATAAAATCTCATGCTAAAATAGATTAAATTAAAAAGAATGCTACTCAAACCGGTCCAGTGATTTATAATGGCATACCGACAATATTGGCATAATCAACTCTAAAGTCACTGAATCTCAGAAAGAAAGATGTGTTGCTTGTTTTTAATAAAATGGCATAAAAGTGGATCATTAGTCACCAAACTTGATAGACTTATATTTTCTATTTGTTGGCATCTCACGTTATAAATGGCAATTAAAGTCAAACCCAGGAAAAGAAGTAGCACTTTGCATAGCAATGGATTCTGAACTAAAATGCTGGATTATTCGTGACTCAACAATCAGGAGGCTTTCTGCTCCTCAGATATCCTGCCTGTGGGCTACAGACTCCTCATGGGTGTCACTCCCTCCTCCATAGTTCTGTTCCAAGGAGTCACCCACAGTAAATACATTACAGGCTTTAGCTGACAGGTTCATTCTAAAGACCTTTAGATTTTAATCATTTTATATTTCTTAGCCTACTTCTGATCCTTCAGCACAAAGTGAAGATCACACCTTTTTGTTTCATACAATTATATTCATTCGTCATATTTTAATAAGGCATTATTTATAACTTTATTTGGTTTAACATTTTCTTTCATTGTTAACAGTAATTCAGTAATTAAAGGTATCATTTAACCTATTACAATGACATCTAGTGTCTGATAAGTGGTTCTAGACAGCAAGTAATATATACAAATGATGAGAAGGGACAAGGAAATAGTGGGATAGGAAGGTACATTTACCTTAGAAGTAAATGGAAAACTAGACCTATCTAAATGTAGCCTTAAACCTCCTATGTGTACCTAGCATTAAAGTGAGTTTTATAAACCACTTAACTCAAATTTATCTTCCATTTCATTTGCACAGCAATTAACTCTTATACTCAGTAACATAAGAAATGGTAATAAACCTATTTGGAAAATGTTCAAGTGCTCCTAAATGTACAATAACTCTTTTCCCAGGCTCATTATTTCTCCCTTTGTGTGCCTCTCATGTACTTACTCCAGTGATTTTGAGATCAGTGTGAGAAGGTTTATGTCTAGAGAAGCTGTTTGGTAATAACACACTTCTGTTATTACAAGGGCAGGATAGAAAAGCTTCCTTAGTCTACCAGAATGCCGTGGTGGATGTCTCGGTTCTACAAATACTTCACCTTGGCATTTCCATTATATCAGCTGATCATTCTTATGCCCTAATTTTCTATTTTAGTATTTCAGTGAACTTCTACATTAGGTACATTTCTGAATAGCTTCAGAAATGTCCCTTCATGGCCAGATCCTTTTCCCTTGAACAAATTTATTTTTAATAGCTTTCAGCAAATCCCAGCTGTTTAGCCTCCCTGTCAGTCAGTGCAATCAAGATTGCTCTCTGCTAATCTATATAAGCAAGGGATAAAGTAAAAGGACTTATTTGACCATGAAGTGAGGACTTGACTTCTACAAAAATGAAGGCAACTGCTTCTACTTCTATAGATCTAATTTTTATCCTTCATCCTCATACTCATTTCCTGTCATGTTTTCATGTACTTTTCTTGAATAAATGCTTATTTGCTCATTGGTAAAATACTGGGATCAGAACCAATTTTCTTCCTTGAGGCTGTGACTGGAGGATTCAGCAAGATTAATGAGAGAACATTATTTCTCCAAGAAGCAAGTTAGAGAAGTTACAGGCAGTGGTTATCGAGATGCTAGGCTATGAAAGAGAAAATAACTATGATTTTCCATAGCAGTGCAGATACAGAGACATAGGAACCAAGGAAAGGCCCTCAAGACTATTAGCTCCCTGAAGAACCTGTTTAAGAGTTGAGCACCAGTGAGGAAGGACCAAAATAGGGAGCCATAAATATTTTCTCAGTAAAGAATTCATTTTGTAATCAACTTCTCATCCTGTAATTTTTTTCATGGACTTGAGCTTTAAATATTAGGAACATAGATTATTACTAGGTCCTACCAATGCATTAGTTGAGACAATGGTGGCTGTAACAGTCCCTTCCAGTATATTGGAAGGTACCTCAGAAGCCCTGAGTGTGGCCAGCCTGTGTCACGTGGAAGGGATCTCACATGAGAACACTCTGTACTGCTTGCCTTCTGTTTCTGTTTCACCCCACTAATTGTGCTAACAGAATGCACTTGACACCTAGGCTGGGTAATCTCATTTAGCCCCAGTCACTGCAGAAGTACTAACACCATTAATTGGGGCATTTCAACCCAGCCAAACACCACTCTAGTAAATGCAACAGACTTCTCTCCATCACTGGCAGTGGTGCCTGTGGATGTTTGCTCACACAGAACAAGCATGTCCCACCAAGGCAAAATGTTTTAAAGGGTGTATGTTGTTATTTTAGCCTTTTAAATTCCAAGGGCTTCCTTTCTCGGGCCTTCTCCCCTGCTGTCTCCTGAATGTCATTAGCTCTTTCACAAAAGACAATTAAGAATGAAAAGTGCCAAAGTTAGTTTGAGCATCTGAAAATTAAAAATCATGTAGTTGCCTCTTGATAGCTATTCACGGTAATTCTCCCAGCTCCCTCTCCAAAAAGTAGCCATGGAAAACCCAGGTAGCTTCTATCCATCCAGGTAGGTCCTATCTAGGGCCATGTTGGATAGTCTAAGGAGGAAAAAAGGGAAGGACCTCCTAACTCACCGACTAGAAGTTTCACATATCTACCTGCTTTTAGCACAGAGGATAACCATCCAAAAGGGCTGCTATAGATAGAGGATTTTGACATGGTTTATTTTGATCTATGTGGTTTTCTCTCCTGAAGCTGCCACATGGTTTCCTGTCTGTTAGGAGAGAAACCTAGGTTGCAACTTTATCTCTAGCTCTTGGACACATGGAAACCTTTTTTTGTGATAACCCAGACTTCTCTCCCTCTAGAGAGTTTTCTGGACTGGGGGCTACATAGGTTGAACTGAATTTTCCAAGATGAAAGATCAGATGTTTCCTCCTATTTCTCTGAGATGCTTACTTTCCTGTAAAATTTTATATAGCCCATTCAGTGGGTGAGTGTGGGTGTGGAGGAGGAAGGCAGGGAAGGGTTGACTGTCATCAACATGAGGCCCCCTGAATCCACTGATGTCAATAACCAAAAAAGTTTGAACAAATAACTACATACATGAGATAGCCAAAGTTTTACATTTGAGTTTAGCCATACCAATAGGTTCAATTGCCATCATCTCCCAGTGACAGGACTTTGAGTTTTACTTTCCATAATAATGGCTATCATTTGCTCAGTACTAACTTACTCCTTATTAAACACTGTGCTGATTACCTTGCAAACATTATTTCATTTGACGCTCACAAGCAATCTTATGAGATAGGCACTATCATTATCCATATGCCAAAAAGTATTAATTGCATGAAGGCTGCTCTCAGAGAGACACTTTAAACACACACACACACCTTCACTCAGTCTCTCTTTCTCTCTGAAACAATTCAGTAGTCCCAGTAGCAGGAAATAAAAACAACATGGGACACTTTACCAATAGTCCCACCTAAAGTCACAAGGATGAACCTAGAAAATATTTTTCATATTTCTTCCAGGAAGACTCCATTGATTTTTAACTTATTTTGTGTGAGCATTTTCTCTTTTTTTTCATGTTGGTTTTATGGAACATTCTAATAGAGCAGGAATGTGGGGGGTCCACTGAGATGTCAATGAAACCATTATGGGGTTAAAACCAGAAGTGGGGCCAGTTCCCAGGATTTTCTTTCTAATTCCCAATGAGTCCCTCAACACTGAAATAAACACATCAACAAGGATTCTTAAGGCTTCTGATTTTACCATTCCTGTAGAATTTTATCTGAAGGGAAGTTTCTTCTCCTGTTAGACTTCATATTATTTATACATCAAGATTTGTCCAATGAGGCCCCCCAACCACTACCGCAAACAAAAATGGTTTCCTATTAATGCTTTTAATGGTAGTAATACTTCACAGTCTGTGGAATATGTTTGATCTACCATTGTTTAGACTCTCACATTTAGTTCTGTGAAGGCCATCTCAGAGAATCAGCAATCCCAAGGAATTACTCAGAAACAATCAGTGGGTAATAATTTGGGCTTAAGTGTGGATAGTTCAGTATTAATTAGTATGTAATTGTGGAGAAGAAAATGAATATGGAAACAAGTTAACATGTCCAGGGTCACCAACACAGCTAAAACTTGAACACAGGCCTGACACCAAAGCCAATCCCAGTGTATTTTTCAAAAAGTAGACTGAGAACTGACTGTATTATAACCCCTAGGGATGCTTATCAAAAATATAGATTCCTAGGTCTCACCAAAGAGTCACAGAATTGGAATCTCTAGAGGTGGATACCAAGCATTTACACTTTTACCAAGCTCCTAGGTGATTGCTAACATTCACTGTAACAGAACTTTATCTCCCCCTGCTGCTGCAGGAGGGTCACAGTCCTTAAAACGTGGAGAAAAAGTTTCTGCTCTAATCATGAGCAACCATGGGGTTTCAAAGATGACCCAGGGACCTCAGAATGTCACAGAAAGGTCCGAACAAGGACTTGTTGTCTGTGGCCATATGGACATTGTTCACACTGCAGACAAGTCTGGAAAGGTAACTTGGCACATGAATAAAAGGGGGGCAGAGGAGGCAGGCATGGAATAAAACAAGAAAGTGAATTTGGGGATTAGATTGTTGAAAGCAGGGAGTCAAGCTCATTGCAGAACCCAGCCTACATCTTATCGAAAAAACAAAGAACCAGAAAAAAGACAGAGCTTGCCTCAGTCCTGCCTACTGTGCTCAGGCTTCAATGGATGTTGCTATCCAGTGATTAACTACAGTCATCCCCTGTTGTATAAATGTTTAGCAGCAACTTATGAAAAACAGAAACAAAAACTCCTCGATGAGGGTTAAATGTTTCTTCTTCTAAGACGGCCTGTCCAAAAAATTCACATCTGAAAGTCCAGCTAACCACATTTCCCCACTAACCACCCTGTGGAAACCTTGAGCCAGAGGTATGAGAACAGGATGGACAGCAGTGCTGGAGACTGGACAGACTGTTCGTCTGCTGAGAGCTCACTCTCACTGGAGTCTGGGGCGCTGTTCCCCTCGGCTTGCCTTGAGTGACTGTTTCTCTTGCGCAGTCTCAGGAGGCCCAGGTGCTGAAACAGCTGGCAGAGAAGCGGGAGCACGAGCGAGAAGTTCTGCAGAAGGCGCTGGAGGAAAACAACAACTTCAGCAAAATGGCAGAGGAAAAGCTGATCCTGAAAATGGAACAGATTAAGGAGAACCGCGAGGCTAATCTAGCTGCTATTATTGAACGTCTGCAGGAAAAGGTAATCACCACAGAGCCTGAGCAGATGCACTCATTCAGACACAACTGAGCACCACGACACGATCAAAACATGCATGTGCAGAGGACAGATCCCCAGTGCACTGGGCCTCCCAGTATAGACTGACCCAGTGGGGTTGCAGGGTGGGCCGGGAATAGGGACCCAAAAGGGAGGCTGGAATTTGTCACACTTTCCAGTGGGGAATGGATTCAGGGAGGCTGATTTGTGCTTTACAAATGTATGAAAGACTGCAGTGCAACCCTTCAGAGACAATCTATTGGAAATATTAAATACTTCATAAATAAATATAAATATATAATGTTTAATTTTAGTTTAATCTTTAATATGTAATAAGTATATAAATATTAAGTTGGAAAATATATTTGTCAGAAAAGGACAGAGTATTTATGAATGGTGGGAAGCCCATTGTCTCCATGTAGGAGGAATGTTTACATGGAAAATTTGGCTATAACAATATCCTATGACACCAATGTAAAGAATAGCTACTGGGGAATGTCCATTTCCTTGTGTGCTGATACCCTGGTGTCTTCCTCCTTGCCCCTATACATAAACTGATTCCCATCAGTCAGAAGGTGCAGTGCTGGAGATCCTCCAGAAAATGTTTTTTCTTGCCCTTCTGCAGGCTCTGTGCTAACTAGCCACCACCACCTCCACCACCACCCCTTAAAAATACCTTTGAAAATGGACAGTGTAGCTCTGAGTAGTACAGTTCTGTCCATTCCCAAAAATCAGATAGAGCATTGAGAAAGAGGACCTTTGAAAAAGGCTGCCTCTATCCTTTTCTGAGCAGCACCCTCCCCTCCTGTACTGGGTGCTATTACGTGGCAGGCACTGGAGGTACAGGGAGGTGTGGGGCTGTCCCTGCCATCAGAACACAGAGTAAACAAGATCAGTGTCCTATTTTCTGAGTATTTCTTAGGAACTTTTATGTCATCTATTAGAGTTGGACCATCTCATCTAAGATTCTGGCAGCCTTATCCTGACATTCCAGTGACTCTTTGTTTTCCCTCCCATTCTCTAACTACAAATATCAGGCCAGAACCAAAGGAAATCATACATAAACCCTAAAAATATATACATTTAAATTTCATGGAGATTTTCATGGGCACCTGTATGCTTGAGGAATTTTTGAAAGCTTTGCTAGAGCAGGGCATATGAGGCTCTAAGGATGTGTGAAGTTCAGGGTGACCTGGGCAGAAGCCAGAACAGCTACTGGTACCTTAGCCAAAACCTTAAAGTTGAGATTTATTTGCTCATATAAGCTAGTCTTTTCATATTCTCAGAACTATGTCATTAGATTTCACCTAAATGGGTCAGGTCAAGCTTGGCTGAGATGCAGGAGGGCAAAGTTCCACTGGCTAAAATTTACAGACCTGACCCTGAACCAGTCAGTCTTCCTCCATTTGTCCTTAGTTCCCACTTTCCCACACCACTAACCGAGGAGATGCTGCTGACAGGTGCTTGTAACATGGACAGCAGAGAACCACTGTGTTCTAGACAGAATAATTGTGACTCCACCTTTGTCTCACATCCTAGGTCCCCTCCCCTCAAAAATCACTTGGCATTGCTAGGAATGGGACACCCTGATCTTACTGCAGCAGGACATTTCAGTTCAGCCTGTGGAAAATTCCCCACCTGATGGCATCAGTGATCCTGAGCAATAGCTGCTCTCTTCTCAGACCCAACTGGGAACTGTAACATATAGTTAATTTTGAAAAATAAGTTAACCTGGCTGGCGTAGCTCAGTGGATTGAGCGCGGGCTGGGAACCAAAGTGTCCCAGGTTCGATTCCCAGCCAGGGTACATTCCTGGGTTGCAGGCCAGAACCCCCAGCAACCACACATTGATGTTTTTCTCTCTCTCTCTCTCTCTCTCTCTCTCTCTCTCTCTCTCTCTCTATCTCCCTCCCTTCCCTCTCTAAAAATAAATAAATAAAATCTTTAAAAAAAAAAAGAAAAATAAGTTAAAGCAGGTATAACCATTTTAACACTAATACATATATTCTCTAAACATATAACTTCAAGGTTAAATATTTAAATGGACATCCAATTACTCTGATTACTATCTTTTGATATAGGCCAGGACATTTTTGTATCTAATGCCCCTAAAGTGTCCATCAGGAGTTATAAAGCCCTTAAAATATTAGGGAAAAGGAAAACACCATTAAAAAACAAGAGGAAAAACAATATGACATTTTATTGCTATTCTCTGGATTTATACAGTGCCCACAATATTTAAAATTCTCTTTTGGTCACAGTTTTAATCAAATACAGTAGTTGTTTTTTAAAGATGCCATAAGTCTTGTAAGATCTTCTGCAATGTGACACATACTGGTTCCCATGTTTTCCTTTCTTGGAAAATGAGAAAATTTCCTAAAGGCAGAAGTCAAACTGAGTTACTTGCAGTCAAGCACATAGCATGCAAAGGAAGGGGCAGGTCCTCCTGACTCTGTGTCGAGCAAACGTCAGGCTTGGTGACATTGCTGCTCCTTGTTTTTCAGGAGAGGCATGCTGCAGAGGTGCGCAGGAACAAGGAACTGCAGGTGGAACTGTCTGGCTGAGCCAATGGAGGGTGTGGCATGCCCCACTGCTGGGAAATCCCCCTGCCTATATCATAATGGATCACATGATATCAGTATGGAAAATGTATGACATGGTTTAAAAAGAACTCACTATTAAAAAAAGAATCAAAAAATAAAAGAAATCAATACGGTCTCTTTGCAGAATGTTTTGCTTGATGTTTAAAAAGTACCTTGGATCTTATTTTGTAAATACTTACATTTTTGTTAAAAAATACAAGTATTGCATTATGCAAGTTATTTCATAATCTTACATGTCCTGTAACAGGCTTTGATGTTGTGTCTTTCCACTCAAATGAATTTGCTAGGTCTGTTCTTTTCGAAGCTCCTTGTGTCTGACTCCCTTCCCTGCCATTTTCATTCCAACAGAAAAACGGGGTCAGTAGACAGTCTATGGTGCTAGAATTCCACCATTGCCTAATGGCCTAGACAGCTCTGTCACCTCTGAACTTGACTAACACCATCCCTACACCATGCATAGGTGTGATGTCTCCACACCATAATCTACGTACTGCCTAAACATGGAAAAAAAACAGGTTAAGGATAACCACCAATCATAGCATTGACTTTTGCTTCTACTGGACTGTGTGCTACCAATATGCTTTGGTTTTAGAAAAGGATGGATAAGAGAACAAACCTGAAGTCAATCTGGGTAGAAGCAAAAAAAACCGAACCTTTAAAGTGCTACATTTCAAACGGTTCCAGCAGCCGTGAAATTGCTTAAATCTCTAGTTTAAGTTCTTTGGATGGAATGAATTAATTAATGTGTCAGGTGGCTCATTTGTGGATGCCATGATTGATGATGTTCATTTTAAGCTCTTACCTATAGTACAAGTACATGATGCTACTGAAGAATACTTTTCGCTTGGAAACTGTGAGTTGGTTGTTGCATTGAAACACATACAGATACAACACACAATTGGAAACACTGCGGACTTCCACTTAAACTGGTCTTTCTTCCCCAGTGTGAGGCAATCCTGCTGATTTAAAAAAAAATCAATCCATCTGTGAGAGCTGACACAGTGAAGGGGGTACATAGGGCATAGTGCCAACTAAGGGAATCACCAGATACTCACCGTAATTACCTATCGCAGTTTTGAAGTCGTTTCTCCCCCAACTTCCAACTCCTGAAGGTTGCTGCCTGCATATTTACTCTTCATTAGTGCTATTTTCCTGTATGTCATTGTGAGCAAGCTGTGATTAATAAAGAATTGGAGTTCTGTGAACTAACAAAAGTTTGGTCTGTTCTCTTGTCCCTTCATGGGTCTGACCCTGGAGTTCAGGTTTCAAAATGGCCAGTAGATATGACGATCTCATAAGCAAAGAGACACTGGAGCATTTGATGCTCCCCAGATCATCAGTTTGACTCAAATAAACTCACAAAAATTATCTAAAACAAACAACCAAATGAGCAAAGAGACAATAACTCGAACTTGGAGGAAGCAAGAATCCTGCTGGTTCACTTTCCTCTGCAGCAGCAGGCAGCCTCTTTCTTTTCTCTGCCCCTCTGTCAGGCCAACACAGTGGGAAGTGTCTTCAATCTGTTCTCCTAAAACCTGCAGGACGGATGGAGATAACCACAGGTTCAGACTGATCATTCTGAGGAGGAGAGCCCCTTTTGAAGCACTTGGAAAGTTCCTGGCACCACTTCACAGTCTCTACTGTGGCACCAGGCCACCTTCCTCAGCCTAGTAAACCGAACTCCCTGCCATCCTGCTGAACTTTGTGCTGCTGAGCAACAGTGCGCACATGGGCACAGCGGGGTCCTGCCTGGGACCCAGATGGTCCTACAGGAACCACATCCAGTTTTAGCAGGAAATCACACATAATTGAAACCACATGGATTCATGAACAAGTAAACTGGGCTATTGTCCACAGCAGCACTAAATAAGCCAAGTTGAGGGTTGAGGCCACCTGGTCTGCATCCTGAATATCTTATTTGTGTGAATCTGACATTATAGCAGTGGACATACACATGCTTAAAAATAGGAGCTCCATGATCTTGTTTTGGAAAGTCAATCAGAACTTCTGACTAGCATAAAATAAGCTGTATTTTCACACTGTTTTTTATATAACTCAATTTGGAAAACCTTACCTGAAGGGCTTCCACTGAACCACACCCTGTGATTAAGCCCTGGAAATAAGAAAATAAATGACTGAGAAGCTCACAGTCCAGTCGCTTATTTTGGCCCATAACTAGCAAGCAGGATATTTGACAAGTCCTTATAGAACATTGAGGGGAAACATAATTTCCATGAAATTCTCTGAAATATTGGAAATAGTGATAACAATTTCTTCTACATTGTGGGTAGTATTTCTCAAACTACTTTCTGGGTCCTAAATTGGAATTGCTGACCAGTCCAGCTGCTGAATCTCAAAGGTGAAGACAGTAAGGCCCAGATTTTGCCCCAGGTTACAAGGCCCACTTCTCACCATTTCTGTCCTTGCTAGTAGTTCATCCGCAGACCACCCTCAAATCTCATCACCCTGGTGGGGATGGATTATGTCTAAGAAGCTTCCCTAGACCAGCGGCCCTCAAATTTCAGCAGGCTTGAGAGCCATCTAGAGGGCTCATTAAAAACAGATTACGGAGCCCCACACAGAGTTTCTGACTCCTGAGGTCAGTGTGAAGGCCTGAGAAAATGTGCATTTCTTGTCTTCAGTCTCACAAAGGCCCAGTGTAAACAACGAAATTGGTGCTGGTGTGTGGATTCTTGGTGACAGCACACCGAGGATCTCTGTTGCAACCACAGCATGTTCCATTGGCCATTGGGCACGAAAAGAAAACCATTCCATCTTATTCAAAAAAGTGGAAGTGGAATATAAAGGAATCCAAGAAGAAAAAAATGAACAAGTACACCTCACAGGATGATTGAAAGAAAGCACCTGGGGCTTGAGTGGGGTGAAGACAGGTGAGGGCAGGGAACCCATGGCCTTGCTTCTCTCAGGAAACATCATTTCAGTAGGGTTACCATCATCTAAGGACGCTCCCGACCCCTTAACAGATGAACTGAGAGTTTTCTCCAGAAATCATGCTGTTTTATAACTTACCCACAATTTATTAGTCTGGTTCCACTTACAGATATTTTACAGAGTGTCTTGGTTTCCTCAAGACTATGTTTAAATTGTGTCTATGACTTTGAAATGTCCCATGAAGAAAATTCACATAATTCCATTGGTTTGAAGACCCACCCACCCCTCCTATCTCTTTCACACTCAGAAAATGTATGGGAGGCCTGGGCATTGACAAACAATGCTCTCTCTGGAGGTGGGCACCAGCCCAACAACACTTCAGAAGAGAAAACAAAGGTGAACATGTACTGAGAGCCCTTCCACCCCTTCCAGCCCTAGACAAGACAATCATCTTTAACTTCTAGTGAGGCAATTTGCTAAAAAATTCCTAAAGCAAATACAGAGCCCAGAGCACAACCAAGATTCCCAATGTCCTCTCCAAATAACCTCAGAGTTATTTTGGAGTCCTCACTGTCCTTAATGCCACTTCCAATGGATCGTCAGCAGCATCATTCCATGCCCTCGGCTGTCCTGCATTCCCTGCTGCTCTTCTGCTCCCATAACTACTGCTCTAGTCTGGGTCCTATTTGACTCTTACAACAACCAACTAACAAGTCCCCTTTGCTCCAGTCTGCAGCCTCCTCTACACTGTGACCAAGCCTCTCCCATCTTTTATCAACAGCATAAAATGCCCACTCCTCTACATGGCCTCAAAGTGCCCCACCATCCCTCTCTTCTCTCAAAACAATTACTCTCCTTCGACACCAAACTCTTCACTCTGACATGAAATTTCTAGCCACTCTGTACATGCTGTGCTCTGTCTAGAGATGATCCTCACTACAGTAGCACCAGGAGAGGCTAGATCAGGCTGCGATGAAACCCACAAAAGCTCAGTTAAACACAACCACAAAGGTTTGTCACCTGCCCCTGCTATGCATGTCCAGTGTGGGTCTCTGTGGACTCGGCCCCATGCTTCGGTCAGTGAAATGCGAGCAGAAGTGGTACACCACCTCCAGTGGAGGTGTAAGAGCAAATTCACTGTTCACCATGCTGTCTTCCCCTGTGGCCTAGAATAAAGATGAAGTAGAGCACAGCGCCATCTGCAAGAGACACACAGCCTGAGTGAGTTGAGCTCCTTTCAGATAAGCCCCAGAATTTTGGAGCTTTTATTATTAACAAGCATTAATGGATTAAAACTCCTTTCACCATCACAGAGAGCTCTCCTCCAGCCCTCTCATTCCCAGTCTAAAATGGGATGTTTCAACCTTTCATGTTGTTACATAGTTCCAATCCACTTGAGCCCCAAATGCCAAAGAAACAAATAAAGGCAGGGTTTGGGGAGGGAGGCCTTATCTAAGCGCCTGGACTATTTATCTCAGGTACTAAAAGGCAAAATGAATGTCTTCATTGGCTTGTTTTGGTGGTAATGAGAGTCACAGGCATTATTTTAAAGAGAAAGAGAACAAAAAGGAAAAAAAGAAAACTGTAGCACACAGAAGTTTCTCCCTCACACTTGTGTCAACCACCTCTGAAAGTTATAATTTCTCAACACGCCAATCCCCATTGCTGAGGCTTCAACACACCCTTCTGTGTATTTAAGGTAAAAGCAAGGTTTACTAACATTTCATTTAAATCCATGGGTACCCCCAAAAGTCTTTTTAAACCTGCTTGTGATAAATGTGGTACCTCTCACCCTAAGTACCAATTAAATAAACATATCAATTCAGTTCTTCGAACAGCATGACAGACAGTAAGCCAGACCACATTAGTGAGCAACAGTGCACAGGATCAATGAATTATCCCCCCCCCCCACCTTCCTGAGTCATAACCAACTCTTCTCTCTTCCTCGCCACCCACAATCCAGCAGGGCCCATCCAGTACCAAGGGACAAGAATGTGATGGACATTTTAGAGACTACCTTTGAATGCAACAACAGGGCCTCTCTACTAACTTTCAGGTCAGCAGTAAGCACTCAGGTTTTTGAAGAAAAAGAAGTGCCATGCCCTATTCTATTCCAACTGTACTGCCCAATTTTTCTACCCATCTCAGTTGAGCTTCTTGAAGCTGTTTCTCCTCCTTCACCTCCTCTGCACCTCTTAACCTACCAGCATCTGCCTTCTGCTC